CAAGGCCCAGTACACAGAAAACGTTTTTAGTTATATTGAGAAAGGAAGTACCATTTAGAAGATGATGCACGACACAGGAACTGGAGGCCACAACTTCCATTTTCTGGCTTTAACTGACTTAATGTGGGGGAGATTAATGGCACTGCATTTCTACGAATAATTGGGTTAATAAGCCGAGCCCATTCTGAGTTGTACCATTAGGACAAGTAATATATTTCACAGAACAAAAATGTTACAGAACGTAATTGTGTTTTGCTCTTTTTTTTTTTTAAATGCTCTCATCAGATAAGGTGCCCCTGAAAAATGCTAGGACTATAGCAAGATCTATCAGTTATGGTATTTTATTTTCTTATCCCTTGGAAAGTGGCAGGAAACAGTTTGATGGTTTTTGAATTCCTAACAATAATGAAATCCATATATCATGAAGCCCATGGCTTGTCGGAAATAATGAACTTGTTACATAATCAAATGCCAAATGGCATCCTTGGTTTCAATTTAGAATAATATAATTTCAGATAAGTCAGCGCAATATTGGGTGGCTAACTTAAATTGCCTTTCTTTTCAGCAAAATGATTTACTTTTCTCTGGTATTTAACCCTCTGGGCACGCTTTCCTTGGAGGGTAACGTACACTGTATACATCCACCGAGAGAGACAGTTGTCTTGGAATAATCTTCCACTCGGGGCCAGAGTCAGGTTTTCTTACATCAGTTTTCCCAAAGGAACTTGCATACCATCTTCCCAAAGTCTCAGGACTTTTTAAATCATATCTGGGTACCACCTGTGCTATTGTTTAGTTAATATATTTTATTTAATTCACTTCTTAAATGTTAATATATTTCTTTAAAAAAAGAAAACTCATGTCACTGTTGCCAAAGACCAAGCGGCACTACCAGCCACAAATGGGAGGTGACAGAATCCACAACCTGCTATATCCTTTATCTTAGTTGTTCCTTTGTTATTACCTGTGTTCTTCACTGGAATGTATGCACCACAAGGCCAAGGCTCGGCCTGCGGGATTCCTGGCTGTAGCCCCAGCATTAGTCGGAAACAAGTAGAGCCTTCCCTGTATGCTTGTTGAGAGGAAGCAAGTGTCTCCCCTTCGTATGATCCCTCACATCTAAATTGCAGAGGAGTCATTCTCGAAAGACATTCTGTTTCATTTAAACTAACTATCCAGGGACCAGTACACAGCAAACTTTTTTGGTCAAATGCGATCTGAACAATGCTATTGAATTCTAACTGCAGGTGTTAAAGATTTACTGGAACCAAATCAAAACATTCTCCTTGCCTTGGTCAGAAGAACTTAAAAAGAAATGGAAAAAAGTAACTGCCTTAACACATGACCTGGTGTTACTCAAGGCCGTGTTGGTAGTACGTAATACAATCTCTGTTTTCAGCAGACGTAAGAGCGACACCCTTTGCCAAATGCTTACTCATGGCAAGAAAAGTCCTCTGCTCTATTCCAAAGGAGCCGGACAAATCCATCTGGGTTCTTGAATGCACAAGTGTTTCCCTTCTCCACTGCCATGCCTTCCTGAGCTTGCTCATCTAAAACCACAACTTCAGTTACTCCAGCCTCTACCTCCATGGGGTTCCCAGAAGAGGTAGAAACACTGTGTTGCAAATGGAGGCAGTATTGTTGAAAATAAATATAAATCTTAAAAACTTCTGATCAGATGTTCTCCTGGCTTTCCGTATGAAAAACCCAGGAGAGGATACATAGTCTACTTGAGAATAACCCACCTGTTGTAAGGAGATTGATAAAATGAAGGATGGGTTAGGGCTACACACACACACATACACACAAACACTAGTTTTTTCCAAACAGAAAGTATATTTAACTCATGAACACAACATTCTTATATGCAACTGATCCACAATGACTAGCCAGACCAGGCCCTGGTTCTAAGTGGAGAGATGACATTGATAAAGGAGGTGAGGGAAAATTTGGAACCTCCATCACTGGGTTTGTACAACATAGACCAGCATTTCCAATGAATGCTAACAGGTGTTAGTTAAAACAAGATTGGAAAACTTATTGATAAATCGATATATTTACTGTTGGAAATCTTCAAGGCCTTTAAGATGACAATACACACCGTGAAAAACTCACCAAGACAGGGAGATGTAATGTCGTGTATTTCCCAATCTGGATTCTCCCTGCCATTATTTTCCTTAGAGTATTCTGCACATTAAAGTTCTAAAAGCCCACTCTCGGACAAACTAGGTTATATAATGCCCTCCTGGGTTTGTGAGTGTGCTTGGAAAAAAACACAAAAGCCAAATGCCTTGTAGGCACAGGATAGGATAAGGTGTTCCTGTTCCAGTTATTGGGTGAACTACTTGGTAGCAATATCAGTAGAACTTATGAGTAATAAAGAAGACAGGCTTGGATGGAATTTTAGTTTTAGAATGTACACAATAAGTATGGGTATCAGCTGGCTGTAAGAAGAGTCAAAGACAAGATCCAGGAGACAAACAGGGCAGGAAAAAGGCTCAACTTGTCAGACGATGAAAGTAGAGTTGTTAGGACAGAGGAAAGATAACCCTCAAAAGGATACCTTTGGGATAGTCAAGTAGCAGAGGTGACAGCTGGAGGTTACTAATGGTAAAAGCTGTAAGTAGAAGCTGGGAGGGAAGGAGAAGAAATATAAGCTTCAAATAAAAGAAATGATGGAGAGGATTCAGAGTAAGTCCAAGGTAGGGAGGGAGGAAGAAAGTGCACCTGCACAAGCAAGCTCTGTGCCCTCCGGATAGAGCCGGTGGTGGAGGGAAACTGCCAGGATGGGGCTATGACAAAGGGAAGGCAAAGGAGACAGTCAGAGAAAGGCTGTGGATTTAAATGGAAGATTCATAGAAGTTATAAGGAGAATTTATATGGAAAGAATAAAGGAAAGACAGGGAGAAGCAAGAGCATTGGTAGATTTCAAACTCGGGGTATGTTTCTTTGGGATACTATGGAAATGGCAAATACAGGGCAGTCATACCCCTTCCGTTCTACATTATAAGTTGATCATGGCACTGTTTTCCTCTGAATACAGATTTGGCTTCTGAACCCTTCTCAACACAACACTCTAGGTAGCCACTGCAGGCCGATTTGACTTGACGCTAGTCATGAAATTGCATTCCTACTGTATTAAAAAATCAACCAGCCAGCCAGCCAACCAACCTACCTACCCTCAGTGGGGTTTTTGTAATACCCACTCCCTGATGGAAGAGCAAAAAAATTATACTTCAGCTAGAAAAGCAAAATGTTTCAGTGTGAGATGTTTCTGTATATGGACATCATAATGTACATGTATGGATATGAGTGGATATATATGTGAAGTATGAGTATTTCAAGTGGGTAGACCCAAGTATTCCATATTAATTTGTAATCGAAAACTCAGTTTTAAACATTCACAAGCACATGAAATTCAGCTCATCATTTACCCTGGCAACCGAAACCTTTAAATCCAATAAAATTATCTGAATTACATTTTGAGTTAAAATACCGCATATAAAGTAACAGCCTGTTAGAATAATCAGAGCCTTTTTCTTTCTCATCTAATTTGTGACACTATATTGGGCCCAACATATTAAAAGGTTGGCAGAAACACCAGATACATGGCACGTTTTTTTAAAAGCACACATAAATAATGCAGCATGATATAATAGCACTGGTAATGATCAGGCCATGTGGCAGAGGGGAAACTTTGGAATGTCATCAATAACAGTCAAAAAAACCCTGCATTCATTTACAGTTTGAAACTAAGTTTCAAAAAGGGAGGGAGGGGGAAGGGTGACAAGTTGCACAAGTTTCCATTTCCTCCTGAGGACACTCATTAATTTCACCCAGCTTCTGAGCATTTGAGCCCCTTGCCTACTCATGCAAAGAACCACTTGAAGGCATACAATGCCCTTATATTTTCTCTAGTCTGGGAAACATTCGGTGCTTTCTTCCCACTATTTTGTTTGAACATCCTGGCAAGTTATTCATGTTCTGCTAAATAGCTCATAATGCTGTGAGGGAGGAGAGGCAGTGAGCTGCTCCTCAGAGTTATCCTTTCTATGACTTTCTTTATGAATTAACAATAAAAAAAATCCTCATTAGTCTAAAATGGCTTAATTGAGATAGAAAAGAAACAGAGAGAGGCATTTGTTAGGCAGAGAAGAAATCAGTGATCTCGCAGTAATCCTTGAGGCCTAAGAGTCTGTTGACCCAAATGAATTCATCACCAATCACTCATGTGAACTATTGCAATATAATCCTAACTGGTCTCCTGCATCAACTCCGGCCCCCTCTGCTGCAGCCAGAGTGATCTTTGCAAAACACATATCTAATCATGTATCTTCATGCTTTCTTCTTCAGGGCCTGCCAGGGCCCTTCATAGTGATTGCCCTTCCTGCCTCACTGGCAGCTTATGCATCCCTTATTCTCTGACCTCCAACCCCACTAGCCTTCTTTCAAATCCTCCTTGCCACAGGGCCTTTGCACAAGCTGAATCTTCCTGGAACCCTCTTTCCACTTCCACTGCCCTTACTCAACTTTTATAATATTAGTCCAAATGTTTTTTAACTCCTAAAGAAAACCTACTCTGTCCTCACAAACTGGTTTAGGTCCCCCTGCTATCTCCTCTCACAGTGCTCTTTCCTCCTCAACATTTATAACTATCTGTACTCATGTATTCTATAATAAACCAAACATTATTTAGAAAATATAATACAACAAATTTATGTCCAACTCTCCTGCACACCACACCAAAGGGCGGACTCTCTGAGGTGAATACATAAGGCCCCCAGAAGAGACTGTTTCTGTAATTTCCTTCTGGTCTCTGCTTTAAAGGTATTTGAACACGTTATCGAAATAAAATGTACATCAAGTTATCTTGTTTGAAAAATAAAGTATATGTCTTCTAGAACTTTCCATGGAAACCAGACCTTTAACTTGAAGTTGGCCAAAACGGAGCCCGTGAGCACAACCTCGTGGATGAACCGCGGTGGAGAAACAAAACTTACGTGGGTTTAGAAGCCTCGGCCTGGTCTGTCTGTAGTTTCTCTCCTCCTTCCACCTCCATTGTGCAGTACACAATGCGATTGGGAGCCAAGGATTTGAGGCCTTGGACTTCCATGATCACCACCTGGACACAATCACACATAGTAGGAGTTACTGCCAAAGCCCATGGACAGAATCATCTAGAGGAAAATACCTGAATGAGAAGTTACAAAAAAGCCAACACATACCTGGTTGTTTCTACTAGGTTTCTACCAGCCACGCTGGGGCCAGTCTAGCATGAAGATAGAATTCTTACCCTGTAGCAATTGCCTCCCAGATGCAAGGACAAGTCTCACTAATTCATATGCTCACAGGAGCCAGGCAGGTAATGCGAAATGGGTTATTCTTCTCTGTGTTAGTCACAGGATCAGTTTTCATTTCCACAAAAAAATCAGCTCTCTCCTATTTCTTTAAAAATAATCTAGTTTTTATTTCAGCACTTGGCAGAGACACAGGCCCATGAGTTTTTATTTCCCTTTATAATAAGATAAGTGGTGGTGCAAGTGCTAAGATAAAGGGCAAGTGGCATTCAGCACCCGAGTCAGAGACAGCAGGAAACAGTGGGGCTGTGGCAAACTAACGACCGCACACACTCCATCTAAACGCAGCAGCTGATGCTCAGTTATAGCCCGTTGTGGCCTTGTCCTTCTCTGGTCCACTTGCCTGGTACTCTAATTTTTACTACCAGAAAATGGAAATCTGAATCAGAATCAAAGGCAGAAATATGATTTTGAAATTTTGACAATAATCCAAAAAGGGAGGAATAAAAATACACAAATTTAGTGCAGGCCCACATTGTTGGATCAAAACAAAAACATGCCTGCAGCTGCATAGTCTCTGTTCTAGGCTGAAGGAAAAGACTAGTGTCTTGATTCACAGCTCCTGGTACTTTCCACCTCTACGCTCAAACTCCAGTCCACCACCTGCTACTATTCTCAGATTCACCGATATGCCCTGCCACTTCTCAGAGAGAGGGCAGGGGAGTGAGGTGAGGACAGAGACACCGATTTAAGAATCTGAAAGAAATGGCATGCTTCAAAGATCTATAATGAGAAATGTATATTTAAAAAATCAACTATACTCACTAAGAGGTAATGACATTACATGAGGAGAGGTTGAGGGTGTGCAAAAATGTACACTTCTATACGGGCTTGATTCTAGGAAGTACAATAGGGCTGGCATTGAACCAGGATTCACAAGTCACAGTTTTGCTGCTAAATAGCCCCGTGGTTCTCAAAGGTAGTGTGAATGAAAATCACCTGGAGGGCTTGTTAAACCAGAGATTGCTGAGCTCCCCTGACAGTTTCTGATAGGTAGGTCTGGGGTGGGGCCCGAGACTATTTTTAACAATCTCCCTGCTGATGCTAATGTGGTGCTGCTGATCCAGGAGTCATACTTTGAGGGCCATTGTACTTCTCATGTGATGCTGGACAAATGACTTGCCCTTGAAGTCATTCCACTTTTCTTGCCAAACTCCTGAGCCTCAGTTTCCTCATCTGTAAAGTGGACATATGTGTCTTATTTCTCACTGTGGCTGTTGTGTGAGGACCAAATGATATATGTAATTGAAACATTTTACACTAGGAAGAGTCATAGAAATGAGAAGAAATGGGAGGCACAGGAGGAAGAATACACTTTTTGGAATTTAAAAGATCTGAGTTCAAATCCTAATTCTGCATCTTCACTAGCTGTGCAATCATTTGCAAGTTCCTTAACCTGAGGCTTTGTTTCCACATCTGCAAATGCCTCATAAGATTTTTGTGGGAATTACTGAGTGGACAATGGCAGAGCAGGTCCGTAATGGCATTCTACAAATACCTACTGCCCTGCCCAAGGCCATGCTACTCGGCCTCCTGGGTCTCGGTTCTCTTGCTGCAGTTAACTGCTCTCTGCTGTCCCTTCCAGCCAGGGAATTCTATAATTACATAAAATCTGTCTTGCACCAACCTGAGAATTCAAACCCAGTCTTCCCTAATGAGATGCCAGCCTTTCTCCCTCTTCTTGCCTCCTCTCTTCGTGTCCTCCAAAACATGTTCACAAATAGATATACAATGATTTTTGCTGGCAGTCTTGGTGTGATGTGCAATTTTGTGTTCTAATTAAAAAGTATTTGGGAGCCCTGGGGCGTTTTATCCTGCACTTGTACTTATAAGTTCAAGCCCGTTTGAGTCTTGTACACATGCAAGTATGGCTGGGGACTCACCCACATGGATATTTCAGATAATCAGCTGTATACTATACTATTGAGTACTGATAAAGAATTAGAAAATTACAAATTTAAAAGCTTCATGAAAATCAATAAACCGCTTTATCTCTTTTCTGTAGAAAGACAAGAGCGGTAGGGAATAAATTGCCACCTCTAATTGGCAATAATCAAATTCAAAGACACCTAAGCAAAAGTGTTCAGTGCCTCAGGTAGTGGTATTAAGGAAGAAAGAAAGGAAGTTTCTGTGAAATTACACTGATGATTTTTTTCACACACCAAATGGTCTATACTTAATTGAATACAGCTTCTTTTGACTGCAAAATACATGTTGAAAATACTGGAATGTGGCTATCTCAACCCAAACTGAGGGCAAGCAAATCACCTGCTGTTAATTCACAGCAAGCCTTAATGACGTTCCAGAAAATTAATTCAGTTTTTAACAAATTCGAAGTACATCTACAGAAATTTGACCTGTTCTCTTGGTCTCCCCAAATCTAGGGCCATCATAAAATCCTTGGGGGAGGGAGCTTTAATAAGTTATGAATGGTTCTCAAACTTGGGAGTGCATAGAAGTACCTGGGTAGCTCATGAAAATGCATATTCCTGTGCTGCACTTGCCTAGAGATTCTTTTTTTCCTGATAACTTTATTGAGGCATATTTTACATGTTATATAATTAACCCATTTCAAGAGTACAAGCAATGATCTGAGGAAATTTACTAAGTTGAGCGGCCATCATCATAAGTTAGCTGTAGAGCATTTGAATCTCCAGTAAGGTCCCTCATGTCCATGTCTGCCGCTTGGCTCAGGAAACACTAATTTACTTCCTGTCTCTGGAGATTTGCCTTTTCTGGACATTTCATATCAATGGAATCAAACAACATGTGGTTGATTGTATCTGGCTTATTCACTAAGCATAATATATTTGAGGTTCAATAATTCAAAGCATATATCAGTAGTTTGTTCCTTTTAATTGCTGAACAGTAGTCCCTTGTATGGAAGTACAAAATTTTACCCGTTCCCTGGTCGATACACATTTCGATTGTTTCTGGTTTTGGCTATTATGAATAATGCTGCTGTAAACATTTGTGAGCAAGTCTCTGTGGGACATGCTTTCATTTCTCTGAGGCAGATGTTGAGGAGTGGAGTTGCTGGACACATGGTGGTTTTACGTTTAACTTTTTCAGAAAACACCAAACTATTTCCAAAGCGACTGTACCATTTTAAATTCCCACCCCCTAGAGATTTGGGTCAACAGGGATCTGCACACAGAATCAGCTTCCTGGGTAATTCAGATGAAGCTAGATCAGACCCCTTCTTAGAGTGTACGTACAAAAAGCAAACACCTGAGTAGAAGTTATTGAGAACTGTACTGACATATTGAGCATTCTACCAGAATTCTGGCCTAAATGGGCTTTTCCTTTGGGTTATGAGATAAACTAAAAAGGCTCCACCACAACCACAGGCTCTCTACCACGTAGCCGGCAGGAGAGATGATGGGAAACACAATTTACAACTCACCACACAATGACGCTCGATTGCTTCTCTCATAACGTCAACCCTTGTCCCAATTTTAAACTTTCTAAATTGCATAGGTCTTTACAAAATCCTTGATTACTGCTCTAAGACAGTAAAAGTAATGCAAGATTAAATTTAGTAAGTGGTTCTTAAAACTGCATTTCCTTGAGAAAAGCATGGTCCCCTGGAGGTAGGGAATCGCTTGCTGATTAGCTGACCCATGCTCAGCAAGCTGTGATTTTAGGAACTGCTCCTAGAGCGCAAGGAAGAACACAGCTGACTGTGAGGCCTCTGATCACTGAGTCCTGCTTGCTGTGCCGGGAACCCTTCAGGGTTTAGAGCTTTTTACCTCCAGGGAGAAAGCCAGCACGACGTCTGACTTGGAGAGCTGGTTCTCACTCTCCTCGCCCAGGTCGATGATGGAAGCGTTGTGGCTGCGTTTGAGTTTCTGCAGCTTGAACTCGCCGCCTTTGGACACCGGCATGCTCTCCAGGTTGGCCATGAGCAGGTTCACGGACGATTTCAGCTCCTCGATGTACATATTTTCCATTTCTTTGGATACAAACTTGGGAAATTTGCGTTCCTTGTAAAGAAAAAGCAAAATATGAACAGAAGAGTAAACAGAGACTGATTTACACAGAAGGTTTACATCTCCTAGAGTTAGGAGATCATCTACCACCAGTGAGCTTGGCCCAGATGTGGTGGCATCGTGCTGGGAATATGTTCCGCCCAGTCGAACAGACAGCTGCCTGCCTTCTAGTCCCAATCGCTAATAGTTACAAACATCCATAATCAGTTAGCAAGGCTCCAATGGTTTATTATAGCTCTATTTCCCCCTCAGTTTTCTCCAACAAATTTGATTTGTGGAAAGAGAAATGAGGTAACATTTTTCAAATCTGGTTTCAGTTGAAACAGTTTTTCTTTTTAGAGAAACGCAATCAGTTGTTTTTCAGCTGTGGTGACAGAAAGACCCCTCACTTCTGGATGTCTACAGAGATGTTCCCACGTGAATAATTCCGAAGGAGCTCATGTGAGATGCTTCAAACGTAGCCCGTGGCTATTTATGAAAGAATAGTTCCTTTTTTTGGAAAAAAATTAGTGAAGAAATGAAAAACATGATTAATATTCTTTAGAGAAGAATGTAGAGGTCTATCAATCTGAGACTGAACAAGATGGCGGCGGAGAAAACCGCGTACCCTCCACCTCCCGCAACCACATCAAAATTACAACTAAAATACAGAACCACCGTCACTCAGAGCCTCCTGAGATCCGGCTGAAAGGAAGCCCCACAACCAGGGAGCTGAGGAAGCATCAAGACTCGTAGGAGAGACAGAGATGCGAGAGGATCGGGACTGGATCCCGGAGACACAGCCGCGGGCCCACACCCCGTGCTGCGGGTAAACCCGGGGGACATCTCAGGATGGAGGTTTTTCCGAGGAGGGAGGGTCCCAGCTCCATATCAGGCCGCCGGCCCAGGGCTCCAGGGCCGGGAAGAGAAGTTCCACATCTCCGGGCTGTGAAACCAGCGGGGACTGTCCCTGAGGGAGCGACAGGCTTTCCTCTTAAAGGGCCCGGCACGGACTCACTCGGATGCGCTTCCNCTGTCTCCAGCACAGCAGCTCTCTGGCTGTAGTTACAACTGGTCCTCACAGCCGATTGGCCAGGGGGTCAATTCCTCCCAGTGACACCAACAGCAACCAAGGTTCAACTACAACAGGACAGTGCACACAGCCCACACAGGGGAGCACCCAGAAGGCCCAGCTCATGTGACTGGGGAGGCTGAGCCNAAAATAACCTGCTTGAAGTTGGGGCGAGAAGTGGAGGGGCGGCTTCCTCCCAGGCAGAAGGGCTGGCGGAGGCCCTGGCTCCTTTGGCGAGTCCTCCCCGCACACAGCCGGCAGGCAGGCGCCATATTTGAATCGCCAGCACCTGACTCACACCTTTGGCCCCGCCCCGTGATTCCCGGAGGCCCCGCCCCTCCCCACCTGCAGCTCATCCAGGCCATTTCCAGGGGCTTTTCTGTGCAAGTGGCCTCTCGAGCCTCATGCTTAGGATTTTCTAAAATCTCTCAAACAATCAGGAGCTGCCCCATATGGCTTGATAAGTGGCCCTGGGCCTGGCACTAGCGGCAGCTGCACTGGCTCATAGCTTGGCCTCTCCTGACACCTCCAAGCCCAGCACAAGGAGCAGCCAACTACGGTTTGCTGTGTAGCTCACGCTGGGTGGCCCTGGGCAAGGCACTGGCACAGGCTGACTTTGCACCTCCTGGGAGCCCCAGAGACAGTGCACCTGGTGGTCAGACTCGACCACGCTGGATTACAACCCTACCACATCCACGAGTGACACACTCGAGGGGAGCACTTGGTGAACACCAAAGCCCCACTGAAGTAAATCATGCTCCATAGGGCTGTCTCCAGCACAGCAGCTCTCTGGCTGTAGTTACAACTGGTCCTCACAGCCGATTGGCCAGGGGGTCAATTCCTCCCAGTGACACCAACAGCAACCAAGGTTCAACTACAACAGGACAGTGCACACAGCCCACACAGGGGAGCACCCAGAAGGCCCAGCTCATGTGACTGGGGAGGCTGAGCCACTGGACCCTACAGGACACCTACTACACAAAGCCACTCTACCAATTCCAGGAGACATAGCCGCTCTACCTAATACACAGAAACAAACACCTAGAAACAGCCAAAATGTGGAGGCAAAGAAACATGTCACAATGGAAAGAACAGAAGAAATGTCCAGAAAAGGAACTAAATGAAATAGAGCCAAGCAAGCTAACAGATACAGAGTTCAGAATAATGGTTATAAAGATGCTCAAGGGTCTTAGTAAGACTATTAAGGAAACTAGTGAGATCATCAATGACATAAGAAAGAACCAGTCAGAAATGAAGGCTCATGAACTGAAATGAAGAATAATTTACAGGGAATCAACAGTAGAGTAGAGGACGCTGAGAATCAAATCAGCAATTTGGAACATGAAGAAACAAAAAACACCCAACCAGAAGGGCAAAAAGAAAAAAGAATCCAGAAATATGAAGATAGCATAAGGAGTCTCTGGGACAACTTCAAGGGGCCCAACATTCATATTATTGGGGTACCAGGAGGAGAAGAGAGAAAGCAAGAAATTGAAACCTATTCGAAAAAATAATTATAGAAAACTTCCCCTACCTAGGGAAAGAAATAGACTTACAAGTCCAGGAAGCACAGAGAGTCCCAAACAAGAGGAACCCAAAGAGGCCCACAGCAAGACAGATAATTAAAATGCCAAAGGTTAAAGACAAAAAGAGAATCTTAAAAGCAGCAAGAGAAAAGCAATTAGTTACCTACAAGGGAGCACTCATACAACTGTCAGCTGATTTCTCAACAGAAACTTTGCAGGCCCAGAAGGGAGTGGCAAGAAATATTCAAAGTGATGAAAAGCAAGAACCTACAACCAAGATTGCTCTACCCAGCAAAGCTATCATTTAGAATTGAAGATCAGATAAAGAGCTTCTCATTCAAGGAAAAGCTAAAGGAGTTCATCACCACCAGAACAGCACTACAGGAAAAGTTGAAGGGTCTTCTTTAAGAAGAAGCTAATGAACAAAAGAATCTGACAAACTAAATGGATCCAGAGACACTGATGCAGACAACAGACGATCGTATTTCAGAGGAAAGAGGGTAGGGGGGTGGAGGATGGGAAGAGATTAACCAAAGAAGTTATGTGCATATATGCATAACCCATGGACACAGTCAATAAAGGGGTGAAGGCCTAGGGAGGGGGTGGGAGTGAGGTGGAGGGAGTCAATGGGGGGAAAAATGGGACACCTGTAATACTTTCAACAATAAAGATAAATTAAAAAAAGAAAAGAATATAGAGCAATTCAGTATCAAAACTGACCTGTTTTTTTGGTTTTTTTTTAAGTTCCCTGCTTGTGAATTCAGTTGTAATAGCAAAATGCTTCAGCTATGCTATCGGTGTGTTCATGCCTCTAAGTTCTCCAGGTGCCTTGAATATACTTTAGATTTATCACCTTCTCAAATGATCATTTCCTACTTGAAACAAGAACTTGCCCTCCCTAGCCCCCCCGCTCCATAACTGATCAGGTGAGGGACAAGCCAAATCAGTTTTATATATTTTTTTGCAAGTGACAGAAAAATCCAATTTGAACTGGCTTAAACAATAAAAGGAATTTATTGGCTTGAAAACATCCTGGGGTAGACCCAGCTTCAGGTAAGGCTGTAATCAGCACTCAGATAACATCACCACAACTGAATAACTTTTGACTCCAAATCTTGGTTTGAGTTCCTCTGGGTTGGCTCCATGCTCAATCTTGTTCCCCTAATGTCACAAAGAGGTTGCTAAAGATCCGAACCTCACATCATACTGTCTCAAGGAAGAGTGAATATCTCCTCTTGTAATGCCCATAGAAGATGGAGAGTCTTTAATCTGAGAATTCTCTCCGAAAGTCTGACTTATGTATGCACCCTGAGCCAATTTCTAAGGCGAGTAACATGCTGTGCTGAATTGCTTAGGCCTGAGTTATGTCCTCCACACCAGAGGCTGGGCGTAGAGGTCTGCTAGATCACGGGAACATGAATTGGTCTGCCAATTCTGGGTGGCAAAAAATAATACGTCTAGTACATGGGCACCTGACTCAAAGTCAACCAACCGGTTCTATTAAAAGGCCAGTAATCAACCAGATTTATTCTCTTAAGCAGTTGAACTGAGAGATATTGAGATTGTGATTAGTGGTGGAGCTGAAACAGTAAGATCATGGGTGGCTGCCATATGGGCCCAGGTGAAAGCAGAATAGGACCCCTGACAAAGATGAAAGAGAGAGAGAGGGAGGGAGGGAGGGAGAGGTGAGAGGGAAGGATGGGGAAGGGAAGGGAAGAGTAGGGAGTAAGCTGTCTAGCATCACAGGGAAGGAGCTTTGACTTTTATTGGTTTTCTAGTTCCCACATTATCTAGTTAATCCTTTTGCATTCTGGTTCCTTGAGATTCTCTTATTTTCCTTTCAATAGCTCCCCTTACCCACTAGTTAGCTAGAAGGGTATTTCTTCTTTGACACCACAAAGCTTCGCTCACATTCGCATAGTGGATCCTCTATATAGACTTGGAGATGCGTTTTTGCTATGTCAGTCTTTTTCCTACCCAGAGGCCATCATAAGTGTTTCGCTTTCCTCCTGCCTCCCTCGGTAACTCTCAGCCATCTTGTCACTTTCCATATTTCATCTCGAAATTTAACTTCCCTAGGTTGGGTCCTCTACTGTATTTTTAGCTCACTTTCTTGGTAACACTTATTATAATTACTTAATATTTTGTAAAATTTATTTGTTCAATGTCTCTATCTCCTTCTGGGCCACTAGGCAGGACCATACCTATCTTGATACCTCTGTTGAATTCTTGATCTCAAATAATGTTTGGCACACAGTAAATATTCAATACATATGAGTTGAATAAAATGAATGGATGGCTTGTCAAAATGTCCATGTTAAATATCAATGCAGCTAAAGCTTATCCGTGAGGAGGAGGTGAAGAGGTGATGAATTAGGTTCTGGAAGAACACTGAGATTCTGCTTTTCCACGTACAT